CTCCAAACTATCCGCCGACCTTCGACGATTGCTTTCAGCCGACACTTCACATCGCCGATGAACCTGTTTCTGCTGACATGGCCGTTCTTGTCGACAACCATCCAGGGACTGCTCTGGTCGACACTGGTGCCGACTACTCAGTTATCAGCGCTGAACTTGTGGCTGAACTCAGGAAAGTTACGACTCCTTGGGGGCATGCACCAAACCTTCGGACAGCACGTGGTCATCTCTTGACACCAATCGGGAGAGGTACCGTGAGGCTACAAATATGTGAGGGGACGTTCATTGCTTCTTTTGTTGTGCTTCCCGAATGATCCTGGAAAGTTATCCTTGGGTTGGATTTTCTTCGCGAGCATGGCGCTGTTATAAATCTTCGAGACTGCCTCGTAACGTTTGCTGACTACTATGGTCCGAAGGCTACAGATACCAATCCTCAAAAGACTGCGCTTCGCATTGTCGACGACACCGTCACACTTCCGCCACGCACCAGTATGTTCATTACTGTACAGGGTGACATAGATCATGAGAGTAGTGGTACCGCTGAAGCCAACCTTTCGGTGCTCTTGTCTCAGCAAATCTGCGTTGCCCACGGCCTAATTCAATTTAAACGTGGGACGACTGAGTTGTTGGTCACCAATTTTATTGGAGCATACCAACATTTGACCAAGCGAACAACTATCGCTCATTTCGAATCCATTGATGATGAAGCGTGTACAATCGCCCCAGTTTCTGCAGCTGTTGAAAGTGACACCGCCGTAGCTGATGCAATTGATGTCAATCCGAAGCCGTCATAAGCGCAGAAAGAGCAAATCCGCTGTACCCTCCGCATGGTTAGCGACTGCTTCGCGTCTAAATTCAAGATAAAGCAAACGCCAACCGTAAATTGCCGCACTATCACAGACCATGCTGAACGACACATACGTCAGCACGCCTACCGAGTATCACAAAAGGAACAAGAGGCAATACGTTCTCAAGTGAAGCAGATGCTCGAAGATGGCGTAATCCAGCCCTCAAACATTCTATGGTCACGCCCCGTCGCACGAGTAAAGAAAAAAGACGGCACTCTACGATTTTGCGTCGATTACCGCAAACTCAACAAAGTGACAAAGAAAGGCTTTTATCTTCTTCCGCGCACCGATGACTCACTAGATCGCCTTCGACGCGCCTGAAACTTCTCCTTTATGGATTTACGCAGCGGCTACTGGCAGATCAAAGTTGATGAACGCTACCTAGAGAAAACAGCATTCATAACGCCTGATGGTCTGTACGAATTCAAGGTGCTGCCCTTCGGTCTGTGTTCTGCTCCTGCGACATTCCAGGGGATGATGGATACAGTGCTGTCCAGTCTCAAGTGGGAAGCATGCATTGTTTATTTAGACGACGTACTTGTCTTCTCCCAAACGTTTGAGGAGCACTTGCAGTGACTTAGATCTGTGTTTGCTGCAATTCGCATGGCAGGGCTATCACTGAAACCAGAAAAATGTATTTTGGTTACATTAAATCAAAGTTCCTTGGCCACCTTGTTAGCAACGATGGTATTCGGCCAGACCCAGACAAAACATTGGCTGTCGCAGATTTTCCACACCCTCCAAACAAACGTGATGTGCGTTGATTTTTAGGCCTCTGCACATATACAGACGTTTTGTGCAACATTTCGCAAACATTGCCGAACCCCACACTCGTCTGACCAAAGAAGATTTTCCCTTCGTGTGGGGCTCCGAGCAAAGACGCGCTTTCTCCGAGCTCCAGCAGCGTCTCCAGGCTGCGCCCTTACTCGGACACTACGACGAAGATGCCGACACAACTACACACAGACGCCTGTAACATCAACCTTGGTGCAGTTCTCGTCCAGTGCAAAGGCGGCGTCAAACGTCCTATTGCTTATGCGAGCCAGATTTTATAATCTGTGGAGGTGAATTACACAACCACTTAAAAGGAGTGGGCAATAGCTAAATTCAGACCATACCTGTATATATGGTCGTCCATTCAAAGTTGTTACCGAACATCAAGCGCTCTGCTGCTTCTCGAACCTTAAAGACCCTTCTGGATGTCTGGCCAGTTGGAGCTTATACGCCTTCAGGAGTTCGATTTGACAGTCGTGTACAAGTCTGGCCGGAAGCATGCTGACGCGGACTGCCTTTCCCAAGCTCCTCTTACGACAGCATCAGGTGATCACGATCTCGACGGCCGTTTTCCTTGCGCCGTTAGTGTATCCGACTTAGCTGAACAGCAGAAGAACGATTCTAAGCTTCGACGATTCATCGAATATCTTGAAGGCCGTACGCCGCATCCACCACCAGCATTCGCCCACTCGCAATCATCGTTCTACGTTCGACCCTTACGCGACTGAGTACCCTTATGAGACTTCGACCATTACGTGACTGAGTATCCGAGCGTTACGAGCCGATGTCTTGTCCGCCTGTCACGATGAGCCTTCCTCAGGCCACTTAGGATTCACAAGTACCTTGGCCGGGATTCGCCAACACTACTACTGGCCTAAGCTCAATTGAGACGTGAAGCATTACATGAAAACGTGTCACAAGTTCCAGCACGGTAAAGAACCACTTCAGCGCCCAGCCGGCTTTTTGAAGCCCGTCGCTCCTCCGACACAACCGTTCCAACAAATTGGCATGGATCTACTCGGACCTTTTTCCAAGTCTCGTGACGGCAACCGCTGGATTGGGGTCGATACTGATTACATGACGCGCTACTGCGAAACGAAGGCAATACAACGTGGCACCGCCATTGAGACGGCCCACATTTTTATGAAGAACATTGTCCTCCGACTGGTAGCACCAGAAGATGTCATAATTGATCGTCGCACAGCTTTTACCGCCCGGATGATACAACACGTCATGCAGCTTAGCGGCACAGTACATGGAAAAACTACTGCACACCACCCGCAAAGCAACGGCCTTACAGAGCGACTACATAAGACGATCGCCGACATCCTATCCATGTACGTTGACCAAGACCACAAAAACTGGGATGACATCCTTCCTTACATCACGTTCGCTTACAACACCGCTGTGCAAGAAACAACTGGATTCACACCCTTCCGGTTGCTTCACGGCAGGGAGATCACTACAATGCTGGATGCCATGCTTCTACCAGACAGGCACCATATTAGTGTCAAGACGAACGAATTTAACAGACTGAAAGACGCAGCTTGTAAGCTTGCAGTCCAACAAATCCATAAGCAACAACGCATCGACTCGCTGCGGTACAACGCTCGTCATCGCGATGTCTCTTACCAACCCGGAGAACGAGTATGGTTTTGGCCTCTCATTCAACAAGGGGGCTGGTCGGAAAAGATGTTACACGCCTATTTTGGTCCCTATAGAGTTCTCCGTCGTCTCAGCGAAGTGAATTACTAAGTTCTTGACAAGAACATGGCTCGTCAACGCCGCCGTTCACAACAGCCACACGTCGTCCATGTTTTGAGAATGAAACCGTTTTACCAACGCTTACTATTCGTCAAAATCCCTTGAGCATGCAGACTTACAGTGATTGTGAACACCACCTTGTGTACTGCTTATCGTATGTGTTTTGTTTTCATTGGGTAATTATGTTGTGACATCGATACAACTTTCTTTGGGAAGCGGGGTAATGTCACTAGTACAAGTTCTGCAAGTATTATTTCCATAGATGCTGGCAGGCTTGTATGTGCCGCTGTTCAGAAAGAGGACGAAGATACACTTGCAGTGACAACTATAAAGTCGTATTCCCGTTAATCGAATAGGTCTGATGTCCCTGTGTGCTATTATCCACAGGTTACGTTACATATGCCTATAGTCACGTTACGGTGTAACGTGACTCTATGTATAACAAGTATCTAGTAAAAAGCGTGCCGCTTTTTTCCTGCTCATGCGGTGTCATTTACCACAGGATATGCCTCCATAAGCTCTCCCGCAATATAGGCCCACACGTTCGCAGAACGAGTGACATAGCTTCGACTCTTGCGCGATTGGATGTCATGGCGTTGCCCTATATCCTAGCATAAAACTGTACCACGGATTTGCTTCGCCGCGGTGGTCTAGTGGCTAAGGTACTCGGCTGCTGACCCGCAGGGCGCGGGTTCGAATCCCGGCTGCGGCGGCTGCATTTCCGATGGAGGCGGAAATGTTGTAGGCCCGTGTGCTCAGATTTGGGTGCACGTTAAAAATCCTCAGGTGGTCAAAATTTTTGGAACCGTCCACTACGATGTCTCTCATAATCATATAGTGGTTTCGGGACGTTAAACCCCACATATCTATCTATCTGTACCGCGAACTTCCTAAGAGTCCAGTGACATAGGGTTGCATGCCAACCCTATTACACGACGAGACAGTATGCCGCAACACGCTACGTTGTAGGGAACGACGTAATATGTTGTTCTTTGCAGAAGTGGGCAAATGCAAAGGCATCAACCGTGCGAGCATTAAATCATTCATGCCCAATACGCAGGAAAACCGTTACGCCGCTGCTTCTTTTTCATGCGGCGCGAAGAAAAAAATTTGGCCTTTGCTGAATGATGGCTTTCCTTCTACGCGGAATAAAAAACAAAAAACAAAAAAACACCACTCCGAGATCAGCGACACTTTTCCGCCTTTGTGATCCTTGTACACAGCGACACGCCCCAACTTCCCGTAGCAGACTCGACACCGTTTCATTTATTACCGGGCCAAATACGACACCGGAAGTGAGTGCATGCGAGAACGAGAGAGAGGGAGCACGCTCAAAAAAGGGGTTCGAAGATGCGCCCGTTTCTGTAGTTCCGAGCACTCTGCCTACTGCGAGCCAGCTGCGAAGGCGATGAAAAAAAAAAGGAAAAGTTAAAAACTAATGTGTAACGAATAATTATCGCGTATGATTGAGAAGAATTCTTCAGCATTCTCTTCCCATCTTTCTCGCCTATAGTGTACATGCGCCTGATGGTAGCAACAGCATTCCCGAGTTTGTCGAACTGGGCATCAAAATAGGACCGACCCAGTTCTGGCGTCGCGAGCCGGGCTGAGCGTTAGCTCGAAGGCAGGAACCGACGACGCCGAAACGACAGTCGGCGACGAAACGAACGAAGGCGCTCTCCGCACTCTCCGACGACCCGGTCGGTGGCCTTACCCGCGCGCTGCCTTTCCTGGCGCTTTTCACGCTCTCTTCGCACAGTAGACCTCTCGCGTAACGGGGTGCGTACACACGCGGCTCTCACCGTTTGTAGGCCACGCAGGAGGAGAAGCGCGCGCCGGGCAAACGCGGCACCATATTTCTTTTCTTTTCCCAGACACCATCCGAACGACGCACGGAGGCCGGTGTAAGCTTGTTCTCGGCCAGGACGACCACCGCGAAGACCTCCGGCCGTCGCAGCCTCGCGCCCACGTGGTGTGTCCGAGAGGAAGCTAGCCCCGGCTGCTCCGGCCAGGTGGGTTTGGGCATCCGCCTGTTTTGCGTTTGAAGGTGTTGTTGAAAAGACCACGGTAGCCTCTCGGGCGAGCACGCGGCTATACACGCGTATCGAAAGGCCAAGTCTATATGTGGCGACGACAAGCGTTGACATTCTCTCTTAAAGAAGTCGCTTGAGCCGACAAAAATTCTTAGGTATCTAGTTATATTGTTGGTGATGCATGTCGGTATGATCATGGCACACTAATGCCTCTTAAAAGACAGCCAGCGGGGTGTCTACTCAATCCGTAACTCTAAATGGTGGCTAACTCTGTCGCCATTTAGACCGGTATATGCTGGATGTGAGTCTCATTTTTTTACACCGTAGCTTCAAGTGCCTGCATTCTACTTTTACACATTGCTCTCATTATCATATTAAAATTGAAGCGCCATTTGTTTCACCAGGCGAAAAAATACACTTACTACCTTACATTCAGTGGACCACTCTGTATATTGTTGTGAAGAGATTTTGTTCGTCAAAATAACGCGTGAGAACTGAACTACGAAGTGATGCTGAGTAAAAACGAATGTATGCTCGAGTACGTCACTTCGTGTTACGTATTCCGTGTCAAGATCCAAATACTCCACATTCCCTGTGTAGGCCCTTTCAACTGTAAACGCACTTCTTCGACTATCAAACTCAGAATAATACAGAGGTAGCTTCACTCTTTCCGTTGGTTGTGTCTGAGAACTCAAAAAGTGTGCTAATCCTAATTGCCACACCTCTTAAATTACGTTATAAAAATGTATGCACGTTTCGCACCGGGTATGTTATATGCGAGTGACATCACCATATCAATGTCAGCGTCTCTATCTCATAAGCTCTTTTTCTTCTAAATAGCTCATACAAGTTATTCGACAAATATACGGTTCGGCTTACTTCGTAAATAGTGTATGCACTAGCAGTGTAACGAAACACTAAGAGTGATAATATTGTTGTTCCTTATATGAAAGGCCGAATAAAATCTGACTGATGGCTTACCGACCGCATTTCTCACGCGCTCTGCTAAGTATCTGCGTATTATCAACTGAACAGAGAAATATTTTCTTTTTTTTCTTGCTGGTCACGAAACGTTTTCACAAGCTGAAGAAAGACGACGGTGGGGTACCTGATAGCTCCCTCAAGGTTAACTATTTGTTGGTAATGCAGACCCATAGATGTCCAGTTGCAACGCGTTTACGTCTTATGCTCACTTTCGAAGGTTCATTTTCTCGACGGCTGACCTTGGTAGTCGCGGGATCTAATTGCGGTCACCACGGACAACTGGAAGAGAAATGCTTGGTCGAGTACTTAGATTTACATCCACAATAATGAACATCAGGCGGTGATTTAGCCCTCCACTACAGCATCGCTCGTAACCTTATTTTAATTTTGGGACGTAAAATTCAAACAATTACTACCTAAGTGTTCATGTTGTCCGGTTGTCGCAAGATATTAGCCTGGCCCAACAAATTCTAGGTTCTAACGCTATTCCAGGTTTGCCACATACGGCGTATGCGTGTGTACGATAAAAATGAAGCCTCGAATATTTGATAAAAATGTGGCATCCACAAGTACTTCGAGTCCACCCCTGATATGCTGCGCGAGGTTTCAAGAATATACGACGATTGTCAATGTTCCTGTGAAATCAATTTATTGGTGGATATTTTAGTGACCGCGGTAAACGGGCATATTTATAATAGAGGCAGCAGTATTCCAACAGAATTCGGTACAGTAAAATTCTTGTAACATGCCCGTTTTCAGAAACACATGTGCCTGCATACGTTCACCTCTTTTCGTATATATTATTAGTAATAGGTATTGAGGCTTTGCGCCCCAAAACCGTAATATGATTACGAGAAGAGCCGTATAGTGGACGGCTTCGTAAATTTCCACCAATGTGGAGTTTAATTTTCATCGTGCCCCTAAGCACACAGGCATCTAAAATATTGCGAAACGCAGTCGCCATGCCAAGTGCTCCCGCGACCTTCTTGTGTTAGCCGCCGAGCTCGACAAATCTCACGTCGTATCACCCATGCGAAATTGGGATCATTAGTTGCCTAATGCTGCAAGTCGCATGCGGGGACGATGGGGCGCCGGCACATGGAAATATTGTAAACATCGTTTTCAGTTAGCGTGTTTATATGCAAATCTTTTCTCGGCATTATCAGATATTTCAGAACGACCGATTGTTCGTGAAAGGCGTAGTCACAAAGTAATGCTTTGATTTTTCTAGTTGATAGAGAAATTAGAGCAGTTATCAGCTATACTGATGCCTCTGCCCCATCTTCATATTATGCCAAGCGCAACGGCCCCGTCATGTGGATGCTCGCGGTGTTGCATGTATGCCACTAATTTGAATCGAGTTGAAAGTATGTAGGTAAATATCTCGGGAAAAAAAGCACGTTAGGAAGACGGCGTCATAATACAACTTTCCTTTAGTTTCCAGTCAACGAAAACGTTCTCGCAAACGGTAGTCTCTAGCATGCTTGTCCATTATTTAAATTATTATGTAAGGCTTGGTGACAACCTAAACTGTTCTTTTTGTGATATCGGTGAAGAAACCATTCTGCAATGATAATAACAATAATATTATAATAATATTAATAATATTCATAATATACTTGTTAGGGTTTAGCGTCCCATAACCACCATATGATAATGACAGACGCCGTAAAGGAGGGCTCCGGAAATTTCGACCATTTGAAGCTGTTTAACGTGCACCTAAAATCTAAGCCCACGGGCCTCAATAACTCCTGTGCAGTAGATATATATTACGTGATTCCCGGTGTTTCATTGTAAGAAAACTGTGTACATCATTTTCATCAATTTTGTTTAGTTTTGAGCACTACTTATGCGTATACACATTAGATATAAGCCTTAGTTGCTAGGTCATCTCAAACGGTACATCGTAACCACTAACTGCCTTCAGCGTATAAGTCATCGACCATGCAGCGGCATATGAGTGCCTTGTATGCTCGGATGTCGACCTGCTTGGACGTGCCATTAGTGATATATTTATATTAGCATTACGAAGTCTGCTCGGCACTTCCAACCATATCGGCCGCGGCAGTCTCATTCAGGGAGAGGCGGATGCTGGAGCTGCTGTCTGTGTGCTGTGTGATTTTCATACACGTGAAAAAAACACCAGTTGACCATTCTCCGGAGCCTTCTACTACGGCCGCATTGAAAATCTTATCATGGTTCTGGCAAGTCGATTCCCAGAAATTATTACGGCATTGGCAATGCGTTTGCAACAAGTGCAGTCACCCAGACCTTTCACTAGCGATAACTAGCGGCGACTTTTTGCGCGTCAGTGCCATATGACTTAACCAACTTGCGAAAAGGGGGAGGTTAAGTGCGTTCCCACAAATTGTGAACATCTGAGCCCATCGTTTCCTCGGCTTCTCTTTCTTAAATGGCCCAGAAACAACCTCAGACAAAAAAAAAAAAAACGCGAGCGTGTCTTCTGGTGTTTATTTCTTTGGTGCACAACGTTATACCACTCAATTTCGCTACAAAGTCAACACCTCGAAAAACAATAACTTAGCTTTACTGCAAGAAACCAACAACAATGGGCACATAACCAGCCAAACGTAAACGGTAGCAACGATTGTTTAGGCACCAGCCACTTTCGATGAATTATACATTTTTTTGTCTGGCCACTTTTCTACAACTCCCGTCGACGCAGGTTTTTTTTTTTGTAATTTCGACATCTTGTTTGTTTTTGTAGTGCCCGGTGGTGTTATTGCGCTCAATTTAGCGTTGGTTGTTCTCTCTCACTATTTTTTTACATTTCATTAGGTTTATTTGATAATTTGCGCAGTTTTATGGCATTTTTTTACGAAGTTGGGTTTATTGTGGAGTGGCGCACCGAACTTCACCGACGAAATGACTACGTCCTGACGGGCTTTGTGAACAAGTACCAAGACAGACGCCGTGTGCCCTAATATAGAACGTGGAAGGAGCTCACGATAGGATTCAACAATCGACTCACTGTGCATCCATGAACGGCAGACCAAACAAATTGAAAAGTGTTTGCGCCACTTTAACAAGTTTTACCGGTACGGGAAAAAATGTTTTTGCAACCACAGCAGGCAGTGGCGTAGGTGCGGGAGGTTCAACCCTCTCCCCCGAAATTTTTCGCGCGAACGCCCCTTTCCCCGGCACTTACACACATTTCTTTTCTTCGCTTTGCACTAACATGATTTAGAAACTAAGTGGTGCTACTATCCCAATATTATACCTGGGTGCTTTTAGTGTCAATAATGTCTGCGGATGGGACATGTCGCAATGTTGATCAAGGCTTTGGCACTCTGAGATATTGGGCAGGAATGTCGGTCGCAAGAGCTTCAGGTTGACTCGCCGACGAGATTATTGCCGAAGTGGTGGTCATACGTGTACCCACCGGAACAGATCTCGCCAGAGTCAATCACTACGATACTTTTCACTCGGCGGAGATTAATTTTAATTGTAAAAGGCAGATACAGTTGCAAGCTCCAATAAGCCACGTTCAAGCATATCGCAGTGTGACTCTTACGCGTGCTAAGGTATACTCAAGCCCAAAAATAACAAATCTATTGAACCTTCGCTTGATCTGCTAACATGTAAATACACACACAAATGCGCGACAGTTTATGTGGTCCATCCACCAAACTTTGCTGCTATGCGAGTGTAAATATGTTGATACATATCTTTACTGGCCCCAAACGGCAAAAGACACAACGAAGTGTGTAATGACGAATGTACAACACAGGCAAACGTGCAGGCCAATCATAACATAAGAAAGGCCTAGCAACATACTCATCATGTAATTTAGGCTGATAAATAAAAAAACGGTGGTCATAAACCTGATTGATATGTGCGGTTAAACGTCCCAAAACTACGATATGATTATGAAAGACGCTGCAGTGAAGGGATCGGAAAATTTCGACCACCTAAAGTTCTTTGGCGTGCACCCAAATCCGAGCACATGGTACTACAGCATTTTTGCCTCTATC